GCAAAACTTACATGCCAAAAATAAAAGAAAATCCTCAAAGTAGTTTTAGAGGAAAAAAATTACATGTGGGGTGGTGCTGAAAAAACAGCATATTTGTTTGCACGTCTGTTTTTTAATACACATTTCCTTTATTTTGTATATATAAATTCTCAAGACTTGAAGGAAAAAAACAAAAGAACTTTAAATTGACAATGAACTTACATTTAAGGACAAAACCAGGCCATCTGTATCCCATCTAAACAGCCAGTTTGTTCCTCAATGTATAAATGCAAAACCTTATTCAGGGAAAAAACCCAAATGAGCCACTGTCTCATTTGCTGCTGTTTCTAATAAATGAAATACCTGGAACATCCTTGCTTTCGTTGCACCAGAGTATTTTGATAACTAGGCTAATATACTCAATAGTGTACTCCAAGCTGTACTGTGTCTTAATTAGTCAGGAAAAGGAGTGGCTGACTCTCATTTCCAGAAGATCCTTAAGATTAAAAAAGAGTACACAGCACCACGTCTCCGTTTGTATCTCAGTTTGTATTCAGCTTGACTGCTTAGCTTTTTCCTGCCTGTTTCACAAAAGGGGAGATTTTCTGTCAAAAAGTTTTTCTGTCAATGCCTAGTAACTAAAAGAATAAAATACCTGCACCAATCTTAATATATCTCCCCCAGGAAGCATCAATCTAAATATGTGTCTACATTCTTCAGAGAGATTTTCTGCTCTAGCAGCCAGAGTTAAAGTCCCTTCTCTTCTCCTAATGACTCAACACAGTCTTTTCACAACCGCCATCTCAAGCAGAACAGAATGAGCTGAGCACACAAGGAACAGTAATTTCAAAAAGAAATAATCGCTACATATGTCATAATAAATAGCTCTACTTACATGCAGTGGCCCTAAGATTGTCAAAAGCATCTCAGATCAAAAAGCTGTAAAGCTGAATTACACAATCAGACCTCGGGCTCTTAAAATGAAAGTGCCTGTTTGATTATGACTGACAGGCTTACAATCAAGAGTTCACATCTCTTATAAAACAATTATTTGGCCTCATGCAGTTTGTATTATATTAAGCAGGAAGGGAAGCGAAGAGCTTTCAAGTTGGAAACCTAATTATTAATTTCTTGCTATTTTTAAGGGTAAAACAAGATTCTGACTTCTGAAGAAGGAGGCCCTGACAAGGTAGCTTGCTGTTATCTGAAAAAACCATTTGGCTACAGATAAAATAACAGAAAGTGCTTTCTTTCCAAATACAGTTTACAGGGATTGCTTCCTGCCAGTAGTTTTCTTTAAAGTACTCTAATTATTATCAAAAGCCAGTTTGAAAAGCACAAACAACACACAAGCTCCTGGCCCTGAGCTGCTCAGGAGCACAGGAATAAGAGAGGCCGAGTGCCTTCTCCCACTGGCAATTTGCTGGCATTTGTTGTTTGACTCTCCTTTGTGCTTCTGAATCACTCTCCAACCAAGCCCTACCAGAAGGCTGCATTAGATCCTTTGCTTCACTGCTGGCTCTACATTTTCTGGGCACATTCACTCCTGTTACAAAGGGAAACAGAAGGAGGTAGGAAGAACATTTGCTCTTCAGACAACTTCATTTCCTCAAACACACACCATGAGCTCCAGTTATGAACACATGAAGGTCTAACCCATAAGTGGAAATGACTGCTGTCCTCAGGTGCTCTCCAGAATCTCTGTTTGCATCTAAATGTAACCAGAATCTTGAGAGAAAAACCTTCACATACAGTCCTTGACTACAAAAAGAAACTGTCTCCTTACACACAGGGGAGCAGTACACAAAGAGGAAACGCTCCACATTCCTCAGAGGATGCTAATCCAAATAACAACAACAATGGACACTTTGGGAGATTTGACACATTGATTCCAGCTTAGTTCAAAGCCAGCCTACAACGAGACAAGTAGTTCTGGGGGTCCCACAATTCCTGCAGAATCCATCCTCACTCAACACCACAATCTATACAAAAAAACATATGAGTTGATCCCAACATATTCCCTGCCTGCTGGTAGTCACTAAGGATCCTGTGTGCACCTAAACTGCCTTGCTACTGCCCTGGAGGCAGTGATGGATATGTGTCATTCATTCAGGACCCAGCTCCCCCTCCCAGGCCACCTGCCAGCCCACACAACTGTGCCAGATTCCTCACAACCAGATTCCTCACAACCCTTCTGAAAAGTGATGGCAGTGCACAAATGAGATGGTGGATAACCCTGCACAGCCCAGCACACTTCTCAGGAGCCACAAAGAAGCTCTAACTCTTGATACCACCTGCAAGTCAGAAAATAGTTTCTACTGTTCAAGCATAAAAAAAAGTAATCTTGGTATAACCAAAGGTCTTGTGGAAGACTGAAACACCCACAGTGCTATAGTGGCTAGAGAGAGCAGAGAGTAACAGCCTGATCCTGGAGTTAAAACCCTCTTGCCAACCTCACCACAGCTCCACTGACAACACACAGTAAAACCAGCAGCACGGTTGTAGCAACACCCGTGGAGGACAGCATGCCTTCCTCATACCAGTTACAGCTGCTCCTGAAGAACAGAACCTTCAATATTTCTTTGAAGGCTAAGAGTTCAAATTCTACTAATGATAATTATTCAAGTGGTGAAAAAAAACCAAACTGAAACCAACAAAACACAAAAAAACTCACAACCACAAAACAATCTAAACCAAAAAAAACCCGCAAAAAAACCCACAACCACAAAACAACCCAAACCAAAAAAAAAACCAAACACAAAAAACCCACAACCACCAAAAAAACTAAGCAAAAGCCATGAGAACTAATGCGCGAACTTCAGAGCAATGACTGTTTGAGCAGTGCAAGGCTTGTTTATTTTCATGTCCATTTCAAAGCTATGTTACTATTAGTTAAAGTTGGCCCTGTGGTTGTCAGAGGTCATGCAATATACCAGTAACAAAGAAATGAGAGAAGCATGGTTCTGCAGGGAGATTTTCTACCTCTACAAGCCATGTCAAGACAGATGTGGATGAAACAAACTTGTTTGCAGAGAGCAGCTGCATTATCCCATAAAAACAGGAATATCCTATGGCTTACTAAAAAGAGACACAGGCCATTTGTCTGCTGATATAACATGCAAAATCCTCTTCTGAGCTCATGGATATTTATTAATCTGGTTCTGAGGGTTCACAACCAAGTTTTCACAGCTTAGCCAGGGCACATCTGCTGACCACACGTACTCAGTCTGGAGGAAAGGCACAAGCAAAATATCCGTGCTCAAGTCTCATGGAATAGGTTTGAAACAATGCAATTTAATGTAATTTTTGCAACAGGCTCTACAGTTACAAGTAGGGAGGTACTACAGATCAGTTCACGCTGGATCTCAAGAAGCTACTGCATAAAACAATGATGTGGAACTCCGAAACCAGGCTGAAAGAATCCAAATTCCACACCCCCTGTGACAGAGACATTGTGGTGATTCACAGCAGCCTGTAATCTCTTCTCTGAAGAGACTGTCTTGAAGTGTCTGCAGACTGCACAGTGAATAACTACATGAGTAAAAAATGTTACTGCCCTTAGCTCTCCTTCCTAATTCCTCCTAGAGGTGCCCACACCTCACTGGTGCAGCTGGTTCCAGCCTCCTGCCCAAACAGACCAGATCAGCACCAACCGCTCGTTTTCACCTTTTGCTCCAGCCAGGCACATCCAGGCGGCTGAAAAGAACAGCTCCACCTGCGGATCAGATGGAGCAGATCCCTCGGGCAGCCGAGCAGCGACGAGCATCTGGGAGCAGCATGATCTCCCATCAGCACAGCTGGATCCAGAGACCGACATCAGCCCCGACCCCCGGGACCAAAATAGCCTCACTGACAAGAAAAATGAAGGTGCACAGCTTTGTGGACACGTAGCTCAAAAAGTCAAAAGGTTACCAAAATGCTTTTTAGGACTTGTTTTTTCCCCTCGGCACATGTGCTTTGCACAGCCTTGTGGACACATAGCTCAAAAAGTCAAAAGGTTACCAAAATACTTTTTAAGGACTTGTTTAAAGAGAACAGTAATAATTTGATGGCCAATCCTGCTTTCTGAGGATCTCATTTGTGTTTTCCAAACTCGAGTACAGTCAACACCAGTAACTAGCTACAGACTTCAAGGAGAAGGAAGAGGAAGAACTGACATTTAACACAGTCAGTTTTGAAGGAGAGATGAAGAACCACTATACAGTATTTTTATACCAAGTATCAAGAGCCTGACACGCAGCCAGGTTGTGGAGTGTCACAGCATTTAATATTACCTTCGGTGAAGACCTCTGCACATCAAAGACCCCAATCACCGACACACAACAGCACTGCGACCCTATAATCCGGACTAGGATCGCAGCTCGGCTGCGGGAGCCCGCAGCTATTGAGGCAAACGCAGCACAACTTCATCAAGCAGCACGTGAAGCCCGTGTTTACCTCGGGACGTATCCAGAGGCACTGCCTGGCCGTCAAAAAGCACCGCCCGAACCGCCAGGCTTCCCCCTTTCCTGTCAGTGATTTGTTAGAAACGGTGCGCATGTTGGACTCGGCGATCTCGGAGGTCTTTTCCAGCCGTAACGACGCCGTGATTCGAATACCCACAGGCGCGTCGGGACGGTGCGAATTTATACGCGATGGGATGGGAGGAATGAGGCGCCCAGAGCCAGCACGCCACCGAAAGCAGGGTTTGGGGCTTTAAACACCTCGTTCCTCCCAGGCAGCGGTCACCCCCGCACACACACGGAGCGGGCACACGAACGCACTCGCACCGCAGCGGCTTCCCCGCAGCGCGCACATCGCATCGCGGGCGCTGCCGGGCCAGGGCCCGCCTCGCCACCCCCGGGGCACCGCGGGGGGGAGGGACACCGAGCATCCTCGGCGGGGACGGTGGGCTCGGAGCCGCGAAGTGTCCCCCAAAATCCCTCCTCGTCCATCCCCGCCCGACACCGCCCCCCCCCCC